TCCAGTAGTATAAAATCACCTGGAAAACTTGTCTTTTCAAGTTCATATCTCCTTAGTTCATCAAGAACTGTATTCTGATTAAATATACTTTAATCTAACTCACTTGTTCATTCATTTGTTCACTCAGGATTCATTCAGTGCTGAATATTCATCAGACTTTGGGCTAATACTGTGGTGTGGAAAGAGCATGGTATCAATCAGCTTATCCTGTAGCTAAACCTATACCTGAGTGTAAATGATTATAGCTCTGGGTACTGTATACTAAGAAGGCTTATACCCACGGTGAATGCTAGTGTATGAGGGGAACAGATGTTCTATTACACTTGAGAGGAGGCGCAGAGATGCTAACATGCCCAAGCTGACATTTGAAGCATAAGTGTGCCAATGTTCAAGTTCAGAAGACAGACAAGGATATTGTGTGCAGGATTCAGAATGAGAGAGCAATATTAGGGAATCATTGTTAGTTCAATACAAATAAAGACAGCAAAGTTGAAATTGGAGGTATAGCACAGAAGAGATAAGAATGCATGAGGGAGATCTTCCTTTTATAATCGTGGTGTAAAATCCAACTCTTCAGAATGAAAAAGATATCTGACAATTTGACTTCCTGCTTCTTGAGCTTCAGTTCTTGCTATACCTTTCTGTTACTTCTCCTTTCCCCCCACTCTCAGTCCCACCCATTTTCAACACTATGGAATATTCCATGAAACTGTCAATCCCCCAGTAGTGCCTTGAATGTAACAATTCCTTTCTTTTCATTCCACAACACATTGTTCTGTGCTCATTATGCTGTGCTGTAATTATTCACCATTTCTGCTCCTCCCAATGGATTGTAAGCTCCATGACAGCCCAGATTTTACCTTAATACATTTATTGTTAAGGACACATCCAGAAGCCACTAATAATATAATCAGCAATATTAAAATTAGTCTATATCAAAGAAAATATCAAAAGTGAATTCAGAAAGCAAATAAAAATATTTGAACCATATGTGAAAGGGGATTAACACTCTTTTTATAGAAAGATACACATTGAAAAATACAATCATAGGTGGAGCAAGATGAGGGATTAGAAGGCTACTCTGATTGACCCCCACTGCAGAATCATCAAATTTCAAAAACTACACAAAAAAAGCACCAGTATAAGAATCAAAAATAAGGTGAGCAATCACAGTACCAGGTTTTAACTTTATGTCATGGAAAGATGCACTGAAGCGGGTAGAAAAGGCAGTGTTGAATTGCCAATACCAGCCTTCTGTCATTCCCCATCAGCAGCTCTGTGACATGGATAAAGAATCTGTGCATTTGGTGGAAGGAGAGCATAGAGACTGGGGAACTTAGCATTGAACTCATTGCTGCCCTAGGTATACACTTAAAAGAAAGGAAATCAATGTATCAAAGAGATATCTGCACTCCCATGTTTGTTACAGCTCTGTTAATAATAACCAAGCTTTGAAAGCAACCAAAGTATCCATCAACAGATGAATGGATAAAGAAAATATGATACATATACACAATGAAGTACTATTCAGCCATATTCATTTGTAATACCATGGATGGAACCGTAAATCATTATGTTAGGTGAAATAAGCCAGACACAGAAAGACAGACATCACGTATTCTCTCTTATCTGTGGGATATAAGAATCAAGACACCTAAACTCACAGAGACAGAGAATAGAAGGATGGTTACCAGAGGCTGTGATGGGTAGTGGGGGATGGGAGTGGCATGTGGAGATAGTTAATTGACACAACAAGCAGTTTGAATAAATAAATAAGGCCTAGTATTTGATAGCACAACAGGTGGAATATAGTCAATATTAATGTAATTGTACATTGCAAAATAATGAAAAGTGTATAATTGGCTTATTTTTAACACAAAGGATAAATGCTTGAGGAGATGGATATTCCATCTTTCATGATATGATTATTATACATTAGATGTCTAGATCAAAACATTTTATGTTCCCCATAAATATATACACCTACCATAAACCCACAAAGATAAAAAATTTTAGAAAAGAAGGGACAACTCATGGATGGGTACAGTCACTTGGCATCAGAATTGACTCTGTTGTGTTGTGTACTATTTCCATTTATTATTAATATTTTAATGTACATTCCTCCTTTGATGATCTATCCATCCTTTCCAATATCACTTCCACTGCTCAATATCAAGGTCTCATCACCTTTTTCAGAGACCACTACAGCAACTTCCTTGCCAAACTCTTCCGTTTTCTGTTCTTAAAACTAAGTGGTTTCATACATACACTGTAATCACACTACAGATCTCACAGGAAAATCTTCAGACTCTTCAATTGATGTTTAGTTGACAGTAGAGCTCAAAGTTGGTCAAACTCCCTAAGTATCATGCATAATCAAAATTAACCTTAAGGTGGCTGTAGATGGGATGCCCTACAGAGAAACTCTTGAATTAAAATAATTTACAAGCCATAAAACAGTCATTTGATAATATATTTGTATGGTAAAAAGTAACTGTGTCAGAAGCTAAATATTATTGTTTCTTGATAGATACACATATGCATACATGTACACATATTTATGACATAGTTTCCTAAAAACTATTTTTCTTTATTTCCATGGAGCATCACCACATGCCTGATTGATTAATAATGAATCTGAGTGTCATTATATCACTTAAGATGTTATTAGCTGCAACTATTAGAAATCCTGAATAAAACTTGTTTAGACAATAAACAATTCATCTTATATAATTCTGCTCTTTAGCACTAGCTCCTATTCTATGTGGTTTCCTGGAATTATCTTTCTTTGTATATTGTCTTTATCCCCAGACTAAGAGTAAGGCAGTGACAGCAGGTTCAGGCATTATATCCAGATATGAAAAAATACAAAGGAGAAAAAAGACTGTGTTTCTCTGAACTTTCTAGTTACAAATGAGAAAACTTTCCAGAAGATTCCTAAAATAGGTTGCATTATATCCCCCCAAAAAGATATATTCGAGTCCTGTTCTCTGATACCTGCAAATATGACCTTTTTTGGAAATAGGGTCTTTGAAGATGTAATTACTTAGGATGACATTATACTACATTAGAGTAGACCCTAAATCTAGTGATGGGCATTTGGATAAGAAAACCATGTCGATGCAGAGAGACAGAGGAGACACACAGGGTAAATGGTCAGTGAAGACAGAGGCAGTGATTGGAGATTGCAGCTGCAAGCCAAGGAGCAACAAAGATTGTCTGCAACTACCAGAAACTAGGAGGAAAGCATGGATCAGGTTGTCCTTCAGAGGCTCCAGAACCAACCAAATCTACAGATACCCTGATTTCAGACTTCTGGCCTCTAAAACTATGAGGGAATGTTTCTTGTTTTAAGCTCCCCCCACACACAAAATAAGCCAGGCACATAAAGAAAAACTGCATTTTCTCACTTACTTGTGGGAGCTAGAAAAAATAAAAGCAATTGTACTCATGGAGACATGAGGTTAGTTACCAAAGATTAGAAAGGGTAGTTGCAGGCTGGGGGCAAGTAAGGATTGTTAATGTTTAAAAAAAATACTTAGAAAGGCTGAATAAGACAGTATTTGATAGGACAAAAGGGTGACTATAGTCAATTTCATTGTACATTTAAAAATCACTAAAATTGTATAATTGAATTTTACATAATATAAAAAATGCTCAAGGGGATGGATACTCCATTTATCATGATGTGTTTATTGTGCATTGCATGCCTGTATCCAGGTAACTGATGTAGCTCACAAATATATATACCTACTAGGTAACCACAAAAATTAAAAGCTAAAGAAACACTATCATATGACAAGATGGACAAATAAAGAAATATGAAATCAAAATGCAAATTTCTTTTTTTGATGAGTAAATGAAGTTGATGTTTTAATAAATCCAAAATGTCCATCCAGTGGCAAGGGATGATTATCCTACTTATCCTCTTGACTGGAATTTAGAGAACTTAGATGAGCTAAAAGAGCAAATTTAAATATTTTGTTAGAGTACTAGCAATTTTGAGGAAAATTGTCTTTCTTGAACCCAAATAAATTGGATATATAACATCTATCTAAAAGAGTCTGAATAATCATTTTCAAGCTATTTAAATTTGCAACCCTTTTGCATTGTAGAAAGCATAGAACAACACAAAGGAAATGGCAAAAATCACAAAATCCAGAAATCCACTGTTAACACTTTGTTGTATTGTAATGTTAGGAGGCTTTTTTGACCCATATTACACTAGATAAGTGTAGTGGTTACTTAGTGGATGCAGTCCTGCCAACTTAGGACTTTTCCAGCCAGCCCTATCTCCCCTGAATCTTGTGTGCAAGACTTTACTAGCCACTCTGACAGTAGACTCTTCAGCCAAAAATGGAGTTTCCCTCATGGAATCCCTCTCCAAGGCTTATTTTTTTCAACTTAACTTTGCCTAAACCCTCTCTCTCTTGCTTTTTCTTTTCTCCTCCCTTCAAGGCTGAAGGAAAAGCAACCAATGATTAGGTAACTGAACCTTTTCTTTGGACATTATTTAAATTTAAAACATTTGAACACAGCACAGCATACACAGGGAAGTGTGTGTGTGTGTGTGTGTGTGTGTGTGTGTGTGTTTTGTGTACATGTATGCTTGGGTATTAATTCATTTCAGGACATTTTAGGAAAACTACTGTTTATTGGTTGGAAAACTAGGGAAAGAGTTCCAGATACTAATGCTGCTCAAGTACAAATTTCTCAGTGCAGACACCTTCAAAAAACATCTTTCTCTATTGTAGTGAATTAAAATACTATGTTAGAAGTGATGGGCTTTAAAACCATATTTTTTCCATGTATTAGTTTGCCTTTTACATATCTTCTTTTCAGAAATGTTTATTCAGCTCTTGTGACCATTTTCTAAATAGGGTTATTTGTTTCTTCTTTTTTTTCTTTTTTGTTAAGGAGCTTATAACTTTTATGAGATCCAGTCCTAAAGTAGATTAGAGTGACATTGAATTCTGTCTGGAGGTGTTCTCCCCTTCAATTCAATGCAAAGCCTCTTTTCTGGCATGAACTCTCTGATGTCTAATGAGCTCTGAGCACCATCCATAAGCTTTCCCACATTCTTTACAAATAAAAGGTTTCTCTGTGAATTCTCCAATGCTGACTTAGATATGAGCTTTGACTAAAGGCCTTCCCACACTCATTACACTCACAGGGCTTCTCTCCTGAATGAATCCTTTGATGCTGAACAAGATGAGCACCCCACCTGAAGGCCTTCCCACATTCATGACATTCGAAGGGTTTCTCTCCTGTATGAATCTTCTGATGCTGACCGAGGTTTGAGCTCTGTTTGAAAGTTTTCCCACAGTCACTACACTTACAGGGTTTCTCTCCAGAATGAACTCTGGTGGACAACAGGATGTGAGTTATAAATGAAGGTTTTACTACATTCACTACATTCATGGTCTTTCTTCCCTGTGAGAATTTCCTTATGGGTGACAACCATCTGTCTGAAACTTTTCCCCTGGGCAGGGGATCACCTCAGTCTCTCTGCTTTGGGATTTCTCTGCTGCAGTTCTAAGGTACCCTCAGAGGTAGCTTCAAATATAGAGGTGTCAGTAGCAAGTCTTTCTGAGAAAACCTGTGATTCCACTTCGGTAATAGGTGGTTGTGGCAATGATCCTTTGTCTTTGGTCTCTGGGCCATCTTCTGTAACAAATGACAGAAAATGTAAATATACCTGTTCACTCTTTGGGAAAGGCTGGGTCTCCTTAGGCTGGAGCTGGATGCTCACTCCTTCCTGGGAGGCTCCCAGAGATTCCTTCTTCTCCCATGGCTCTTCCTGTGCAAGTTCACGTGCAGGGCCTGGGACCTACGGCTCTGGTTCAAGTCCTTTCTCTAAATCCTCCAGCACAGTCACAGCCTCCTCTCCACTCTTAAGGTGATGTCCCCGCACCCAGAATTGGAGCTCCTCAGGCAGGATGGTCAAGAATTGTTCGAGCACCAGTAACTCCAGGATCTGCTCCTTGGTGTGTTTCTCTGGCCTCAGCCACTCACAGCAGAGTACCTGTAGTTGGCTCAAGGCCTCCCGGGGACCAGGGGTCTCCTGGTAGCAGTGTTGGCAGAAGATCTCTTGACTGGCAGAGTGGTTCCCAGGTAGCCTGGTCTCATACTCACAAGACTGTTCCTCTTCCTTTGGTTCCATCATCATAATCTTCTCTTGTCCCTGTATACCCTGAAGGGCCAGAGTTTCAGCTGCTGTTAGTGATATAGACATTTCAGTCCGGACTGGCTCTGCAGAAGGCTCATACCAGCTGGAATCTTGCAAGGGCCCCCTCACAGGACCAGGAGGTTCCATCGGGGCACTGCCACGAACGGCGCCACTTCCAGCCCTCACCCCAGCTGTGGGTTTGCGCCTGCGCAGGTCTCAGTCTCGGCCTCCATCTCCCAGAAGCCTCCGCGCCACCGGCTTTCGCTCGCGGACTCGGACCCAGGCGCGTGGGCGCTGCAGAGGGGTTGGGAGGCTGGGAACCAGTTCCTGGACGTGAGTGGAGCAGGTGTTTCTTTTTTCTTTCTTGTTACTTAGTAATTGGAGTTACATATACATTTTGGATATGAAACCCTTATCTGTTGTATGATTTGCAAATATTCTCCTCCAGTCTGTGGGTTATCTCTTCACTCTTTTCACTGTTTCCTTGACTGTGCACAAGCTTTTAGTTTGATGCAATCCCATTTGTCTATTTTTGCTTTTGTTGCCTGTGTTTTGGGGGTCATATACAAGAAATTATTGCCCAGACCAATGCCATGTAAGTTTTCCCCTGTGTTTTCTTCTAGCAATTTTATGCTTTTAGGTCTTAGATTTCAGTCTATAATCCATTTTGAGTTGATTCTTATATAAGGGATGTATAAGATTCAGTTTTATTCTTCATTTCATTCTGTATTTGGACAGCCAGTTTTCCCAATACCGTTTATCAAGGACACTGTTTTTCACCCATCATGTGTTCTTGGCCCCTCTGTTGAAATTCAATTGATCACAGACAGATGGGTTTACTTCTGGGCTCTCTAGCCTGTTCTGTTGTATACCAGTACCATTCTGCTTTAGTTACTATAACCTCGCAATACACTTTGAGATCAGAGAGTTTGATGGCTGCAGCTTTGTTCTTTTTGCTCAAGATTTCTTTGGCTATTTGGAATCTTTTGTGGTTATATGCAATAGGATTGTGTTTTGCTATTTCTATAACAAAAAAGTCATTGGAATTATGCTGGGGGCTGCATTGAATTTGTAGGTCCCTTTATGTAGCATGAATATTTTAACAATATTAATGATTCCAATCCATGAACACTAGATAGCTTTCCATTTATTTGTGTCCTCTTCTATTTCTTTAATCAATGTTTTATGGTTTTTAGTATAGACATGTTTCACCTTCTTGGTTAAATTTACTTTTATGTATTTAATTTTTTGATGTTATTGTAAATATGATTGTTTTTTAAATTTCTTCTTCAGGTAGTTTATTGTTAATATATATAAATGCTACTGATTTTAATATGTTGATTTTGTAACTTACAGCTGTGCTGAATTCATTGATCAGTTCTAACAATTTTTGGTCAATTCTTTTAAGTTTTTCTATATATAAGATTCTGTCATCAGCAAGCAGAGATAATTTTACTTTTTATTTCCAATTTGGATACCTTTCATTTCCTTTTTTGTCTAATTGCTCTGAATTGGATTTACAGTACTATATTGAATAGAAGTGATAAGAATGGTTATCTTTGTCTTATTCCTAATCTTAAACATCTTCAGCATTTCACCATTGAGTGTGATGTTAGCTGTGGGCTTGCTATATATGGCTTTTATTGGGTTGATGAACAATCCTTATGCATCTATTTGTTGAGCGTTCTTATGAAAAAATACTACATTTTTTTCAAATGATTTTCTCCATTTTCTGCATCTATTGTGAGGATTGTATTATTTTTGACCTTCATTCTGTTAATATGGTGGATCACATTTATTGATTTTGCATGTTTAAACATCCCAAAGATAAATCCCAATTTATCTTAGATGATCTTTTAATTACTGTTGAATAAGGTTTCCTGACACTTTGTTAAAGATTTCTATGTTGATTAAGGACATTGGATTGTAGAGTGTTGTTGTTGTTGTTGTTGTTGTTTTGTCTTTGCCTGGCTTTGCTATCAGAGTTGCTGGCCTTGTAAAATGATTTTGAAAGTTTGCCCTCATCCTAGACTTTTGGAAGAGTTTGAGAAAGTTTGGTACTTGTTCTTCTTTAACTGTTTGGTAAAATTCAGCTGTGAAGCCATCTGTCCTGTGGTTTTCTTTGATGGGGACCTTTTATTATTGATTCAATGTCTTTGCTGATTATTGTTTGGTTCACATGTTCTATAAATGCATGATTCACTCTTGGTAAGTTATATTTTTCTAGGAATTCATCAGTTCTATAATATCCAATTAGTTAATGTATATGATTCATAGTCATCTCTTAATAGCATTTTTACCTCTGTATTATCAGTTATGATGTCTTTTCTCTCATTTCTAATTTTATTTTTGAGCTCTCTCTCTATTCTGCTAGTCTAGATAAGGATTTGCCAGTTTAGTTGTTCAAAAACCAACTGTTAATTTAGTTGTTATTTTCTGTTGTTTTCCTAGACTGTTTTATTCATTTGTTCTCTAATCTTCATTATTTCCTTTGTCCTACTAACTTTGGGTTGTTAGTTCTTCTATTTCTAATTTCCTGAGGTGTAACATTAAGTTGTATACTTGATATCTTTATTGTTTTTTTTAGACACAGGCATTTAATGCTATAAATTTTCCTCTTGGAACTGCCTCTGTTACATCTCATAAGTTTTGGTGTGTTTTATTTGCATTTTGGTTTGTTCCAAATAATGTTTTCTGGACTCAGTAATTGTTCCTGAGCATATTGTTTAGTTTTCACATATTTATGAATTTTGCATTATTCCCTCTGTTACTGATTTCTAGTTTTATAAGATTGTGGTCTGAAAAGATATTTGATATGATTTCAGTCTTTTTAAATTTGTTAAGATTTAGCCTGCGGCCTAATGTATGATCTATCCTAGAGAATGTTCCATGCCCACTTGAGAAAAATGTTTATTCTGTTGCTGTTGAATGGAATGTTCTTTACATTTCTGTTAGACCAATTTGGTCTAAAGTGTTTAACATCGCTAATTATCAGGGAAATGAAAATTAAAACCTTAATGCAATATTACCTCTTACTTATTGAAATGGCTATTGTCACAATGATGAAAGATAACAGGTGTTGGCAAGGATGTGGAGAAGTTGAAACCCTTGTACACTGTTGATGGGAATATAAATTAATAAAACCATTATAGAAAACAATATGGAGACTCCTCAAAAAAACTAAAAATAAAATTACAGAAATCCCATGCTTAGATTTCTATCTAATGAAATCAAAATCAGTGTGTTGAAAGCATGTTTGCACTTCCATGTTCACTGAAATATTATTCTCAATAGCCAAGATTTGAAAATAGCTAAAGTGCCAATCAACAGATGAATGGATTTAAAATATGTGATATATATACATGTTAAAATATTATTCAGCCTTAAAGAACAATGGTTGTTATTTACAACAACATAGACAGATTTAGAGGACATTATGCTAAGTAAAATAAGTCAAGCACAGAAAGGCAAATATTGCATGTTCTCACTTATATGTAGAATCTACAAATTTGAACTTATAAAAGTAGAGAGTAGACTTGTGGTTACCAGAGGCTAAGGTAGAGGTGGGGTGTGGAAAAGGGGAAATATTAATCAAAGGTCACAAAGTTTCAGTTAGAAAAGAGTAATAAGCTTCTTTTTTTTTTAGCATTGAATTTATTTATTTATTTGTTTGTTTATTTGTTAATTAATTAATTAATTTATTTATTTTTTATTGCATTTTAGGTTTGGGGGTACATGTGCAGAACATGCAAGACAGTTGCATAGATACACACATGGCAGTGTGTTTTGCTTTCCTTCTCCCCTTCACCCACATTTGGCATTTCTCCCCAGGCTATCCCTCCCCACCTCCCCCTCCCACTGGCCCTCCCCATTTCCCCCCAGTAGACCCCAGTGTTTAGTACTCTTCTCTCTGTGTCCATGGGTTCTCATTTTTCATCACCCACCTATGAGTGAGAATATGCGGTGTTTCGTTTTCTGTTCTTGTGTCAGTTTGCTGAGGATGATGTTCTCCAGATTCATCCATGTCCCTACAAATGACACAAACTCATCATTTCTGATTGCTGCATAATATTCCATGGTGTATATGTGCCACATTTTTCCAATCCAGTCTATCATCAATAGGCATTTGGGTTGATTCCAAGTCTTTGCTATTGTAAACAGTGCTGCAATGAACATTCGTGTACATGTGTCCTTATAGTAGAACGACTTACAGCCTTTTGGATATATACCCAGTAATGGGATTGCTGGGTCAAATGGAATTTCTATTTCTAAGGCCTTGAGGAATCGCCACACCATCTTCCACAGTGGTTGAACTAATTTACACTCCCACCAACAGTGTAAAAGTGTTCCTTTTTCTCCACATCCTCTCCAGCATCTGTTGTCTCCAGATTTTTTAATGATCGCCATTCTAACTGGCGTGAGATGGTATCTCAATGTGGTTTTGATTTGCATCTGTCTAATGACCAGTGACGATGAGCATTTCTTCATATGATTGTTGGCCTCATATATGTCTTCTTTTGTAAAGTGTCTGTTCATATCCTTTGCCCACTTTTGAATGGGCTTGTTTGTTTTTTTCCTGTAAATCTGTTTGAGTTCTTTGTAAATTCTGGATATCAGCCCTTTGTCAGATGGGTAAACTGCAAAAATTTTTTCCCATTCTGTTGGTTGCAAATTCACTCTATTGACTGTTTCTTTTACTGTGCAGAAACTGTGGAGTTTCATTAGGTCCCATTTGTCTATTTTGGCTTTTGTTGCCAATGCTTTTGGTGTTTTGTTCATGAAGTCCTTGCCTACTCCTATGTCCTGGATGGTTTTGCCTAGATTTCCTTCTAGGGTTTTTATTGTGCCGGGTCTTATGTTTAAGTCTTTAATCCATCTGGAGTTAATTTTAGTGTAAGGTGTCAGGAAGGGGTCCAGTTTCTGCTTTCTGCACATGGCTAGCCAGTTTTCCCAACACCATTTGTTGAACAGGGAATCCTTTCCCCATTGCTTGTTTTTGACTGGTTTATCAAAGATTGTGTGGTTGTAGATATGTTGTGTTGCCTCTGTTGCCTCTGTTCTGTTCCATTGGTCTATATCTCTGTTTTGGTACCACTACCATGCTGTTTTGATTACTGTAGCCTTGTAGTATAGTTTGAAATTCGGTAGTGTGATGCCCCCCGCTGTGTTCTTTTTGCTTAGAATTGACTTGGCTATGCGGGCTCTCTTTTGGTTCCATATGAAGTTCGTGGTGGTTTTCTCCAGTTCTGTGAAGAAAGTCGATGGTAGCTTGATGGGTATAGCATTGATTTTGTAAATTACTTTGGGCAGTATAGCCATTTTCACGATATTAATTCTT